TTTTGTGCACCAGGCCTCTAGTCTATATTATAAAAAGCTAGTGGCTGTAACACCGTAACCCCGGAACGACCAAACAACTGGTCACCAGGAGGTGCATTGATGGGTCCCTCCCACAGTGGCGGCAGGAGGGACTTTGGACCCTGTGGTGGTGGTGGGAAGGATTCTGGGTCTCTCGCGATTTTGCATGCTGGGCCTCCAGTGTTAAAATAAATTGCAAGGCAGTGCCTGGACTAAGTGGAAAAGAATATCATGATTGATCAAGGACATCTTGGTTGTGGAAGGGGTGATTAACAGTATCTTTGCTACCTGTTTCTAGCCTCGCTTAGAATATGTGTCACCCTCAAAATAGGTTTCTTCATTAAATCTCTCCTACTCTTGATTATCCTTATAGAATGTCAGATTAATTCTTTTAAATATTACTTTTACTACATCATTCTCCTACTTAACCCTCTAAAGGTCTATCTCCATTTCCCACTTAGTAAATATACTTCCTGTCTAATAATCAAGGTCCTCCACAATTTGTCACCATTTAATGTTCTCATCAACCATACACAAAATCACCTCCCTCACCTATTTCTTAAAAAAAATATTTTTATTGATTTCAGAGAGGAAGGGAGAGTGAGCGCGAGATATAAACATCAATGATGAGAGAGAATCATTGATCGACTGCTTCCTACATGCTCCACAAAAGGGATTGAGCCTGCAACCTGGGCATGTGCCCTGACTGTGACCTCCTGGTTCATAGGTCGACGCTCAACCACTGAGCAACACCGGCTGGGCGAGACCTATTTCTTGTACTCAGAGTACACACTCTAGTCTAAAAGGGTCACTAGTAGGAGCAGGAGATGGGAATTTGTCCAAAGGGGAGCATCTGGATTAAGAGATCAGGATGAGTCAATAACTGGGAGTTTTGAGATGGAGGAGGGTATCAGAAATCTTGGGGAGGGATCCAAGTCAAATCTGAGTGGACAAGCTTTAGCTGAGGCCTGCTCCTTTTGATGGCCTAGTTTCTATCCCAGTTTGGCTGCCCGTTATCAGTTTTAAAGCGGTGCTATTTTATAGCTGTTACTGAATAGGCACCTGATACATACCCCACACATTTTAATCTCTGCGCTTTTAGCATCTTCACTTTAAGTGCCTATTTCCCTCATTTCTGCCTAGTGGAGTCCCACTTATCCTTTGGTGCTCAGCTCCAAACCATCACAGTGAGGCCCTGGTATTTTTCAAATGACCTGCTTCTCAGAGTCCTTAAATTTGACATCATTCCCTAATTCATCTCCATAACTCCACATAGATCTCTCCTAGGTCTATAGTGCTGGCGAGACAGTGACATTCACCACTAGGGCCCATTTTTGCCCAGGCAGTTACATTCAGGGATTTTATGGTAATTGACTTGCTGTCTCATTCAAATGGAGCAGTCTGGATATGAACTAGTGTATTAAGGTGCCTTTTAACTGTTAGATTTAAATACCAGTCTATGGTAACAAAACACTATAAACTAGCAATGAAATGCAGCAGCATAAAGCACAATAAATTCTTATTGCCCATGGCTAAAATGAGACAAAATATTATTCCAGAATAAGGGAGAAAGTAATGCTCTCATGGAAAAATACGAGCAGGTTAACTTTTCCAGCATGCTGAATGGCACCTGAGTGACCCAAGAGTTATTGAATTTAAAAATAATCAATTGCTGTACCCTCTGCTAGTGACTGGGCTATGATGAATAGTTATGACAATTTCTCATGGTGATGAGTCTAAAATAAAAAACTTTACAATGTACACACTTCATTTAGAACAAGTTTACCATTTATAAGCCAAGGAAAACAAGCAGTTTACAGCGTCTATGAACTCTGATCAAAATGATGTGGAAAAACTCAATGCCAAGCTGTATAAGTTATGGGGAACAGACAAGGGCCACTCATTCCTGTATCGGTGTCCTATTTTTACCCAGATCAGAAACAGAGAAATCAGAAGCTTTTCCCCACATGCTATGAGCAGTGTTTGCTAATTTCAGATGATAATGAAAACTAAAGGTAATCTTTCTGTGTTGTATTCCTAAAGATACCTGACCCCATGGCCATGTTGAGAATACATCATCAGCAGTATGACTGGAAACTCAATGGCTTCCTGGTCCTTGCTGGTTGATGGGGATTAAGGGTTCAGAAACTTTTAACTTTGAGCCAAAGGAATAATTCTAGCTGCCATTACCAATATTTGGGATCCAGGACTTGAATGTTCTTGAACAACTCTCTACTACCAGAGGGCACCAGCCATGTGGGCATCAACTTGGTGAAGGTCCCAATGACAGATGCCAGGGAAGCTGTACCTGGTGAAGTTATTTAAACACTTGGTTTGAGGAATCTGTCTGGGTTGGGTGTCCGTCCTACCAATATAAGGCTGGCGTAAATAGAATTGTCTGGCTTTTGGGGGATGCTGATATTTCATCTTTTCTTTGAAACTTGATTAGAGTTGTTGTTTAGTTGGGAGGAAGTCATGGGGGAATACTGGGGTGTGATTGGCAAGAAGAGGAGATACAGGAGCTGTTCCTTACTCATCGTTCGGTGAGTCAGTCTGATATAGAGGATCTGGACTGTGGAATCAGCCCAAGAGGATTCAGAAAGGAGCCACGTTGGAATCTAGACAAGCTAGAGTCCAGACTAAGAACTGCGCTCACCTCATATGGAAAGTCAGCCAAGTTTCCACTGGTGAGTCTGGATTCTGTAGGCAATTTAGTGATTTCCTGTTGGCCACCCCCCACTGCTGCCTCCTTCCCACCTGCAAGCAGTCACCCACCCATAAATCCTGTCCAGCCCTGGACTGCTGCCCAATGTTCCAGAGGGTTGGACTCACCAAGGAGAGCGGAATTCCCAGGGTCCAGGACCAGCTGTGTTCCCAGAGGAGACATCAGCACTGAAGGAAGGTTCGGTCCAGTGGCTGAAAGCAAGGCTCTGATATCCTCTAACTGCGTGGGGACTTGGGGGGGATCTGTGAGAAGGCAGATGGTGAATCAGACAGGTTAAAGCATGAAGGCCATATTAAGGGGGGAATGAGGGGTGAGCATGCGTGTAATTGTGTCTGTGTGTAAGGCAGGCATTACTCTTGTTGCCTTTTAACATAATTTTTCCTATTGAGAAGGCGTGCCTATCAAATTGAGTCTGAATTTCAAACAACACTTGAACCAATAAGGTCAGTAATAAGAATCAGGCATGTAGATTTCAGAAGCTCCTGACTAATACCACTTTATACCACAGGACCACTGGGTCCCTATAAATGTAGGTACATTAAACCACATTGTAAAGACACTCTTAAGAAGCCAACATTTCTTCAGCAATTACAAAACGTCAAGTCCTATATTAAAGAGCTTTCATTTATAACGTCCTTAGAGGGGGGCACTTTATTCTTGTCCCCACGGATAGGGATATGCCACAGGAATTCTTACTTAAAAGGAGCCCATGAGTGGCTTTTTCTATGAGGAAAAGGGTCCATCTATGAAGTCGATGAGTTAACTTGCTTTGTGGTGTGAATTTTTCATGCTCAATAGGACACATAAGCCGGACAGGGATCATTTGCTATTTAAAGTCTGATAAGGAGTCAGGGCTGAAGTCATCAGGGGTCACGTTAACCAGAGCCAAGGTGACAGCAATGGGAAATACAGTGGCTTGCTTGTTATTTCCACTGGACAAATACAGAGGCAAGCGGCTACTGAACCTAGTGGCGGGATGATCCCTGGTTCTCCAGCGAAAGCACAGACACCCGTTCCCCCTCTTCCGGCATCTCCTGATGCCCTGCAATTCACACTCTCAAGGCCGACTCCTACCTTTTCCTCTCCGGCCCTTGCTGGAGCAGAAAGAGAAACAGGAGTGTTGTTCTTGTAATTGATGGTTATTTTAATAGGGTTCAGGGAGGGCCTACTATGTGCTTGCCACCTTGTTAGGTGCTTGTTAGGTCATGATGGTGCCAGAGTCTAGTTCAGAAACATCCAGTTGGGGTTCAGGAACCCTCAGTTTGAGCTGTGGCTCTGTCTTTCAGTAACTTGGGCAAGTCACTAATCCTTCTAGCCTTAGTTTCTTCATCTATTAAATGGAACCTCATCATTTCCAAGATTTCTTTCTGCTCTCAAACACCACGGTTTTAGCAATTGATGGTGGCAGTTTACTCAAACCCAGACTCTTTTCCTCACATCCTTTTCAATATTCCCTCAAGAACAATGAAATTGAATATTGAGGGAAACGGAGTTCCCGCAATATTGCAATTGAATATTTCTTTAAGAATGCTAAAACGCAGTAAGCCTTTGCTTATTTGCTAAAACCCATCAGATCTCCTTGGGCCAAATGTCGACACCTTCTAATGTCCTCACAGTTTCTATGACATTTTTCTTTTTTGGTATATGTCCATTTGATCTTCTCAGGGACACTGTAACTTCTCCAAGGTCAGAGGTCACCCCTTATAGTTGTCCTACATGGAACTTAGAGGCAGCACTTAATGAATAATCATCCAGTGACTATCTGAATAAATGAATAATATTCTGTCTCATTATACTTCAAGTCTCCTTGCTACAGGTTAAATCACAGAACTTGGCGTAAAACTGCAGCTTTATACATGAAATCCCTGATTTAAAAATTAAGCCATATTTTTGGCTGATAAAAAAGGAAGCACTACTTCTAAGTTCATAAACTACCTATAAAACTAACAAACTTTGATTAATAAATCAAGGCTTCTGATTAAGAAAAGCTCTAAACGTAAAAGCCTAAAATAGTGATTTTTTTTTTCTCATCAAGTTTGATTAAAATGGGAAGCCATTCTGCTCTTCAAGCCCCATGCTAACAGTCATACCATATTAGTGCTGAAATGCTGCAAGGACTGGCTCCCAGAATACACACTCTTCATTGGCAAAGCTACAGTAGTAGCTACACATCCTAGGCTTTCATCTCTTTTAGCAGAGGCAATAAGGAAGGGTTATTAGGGAAGAGAAACCCACAGTAAGCACCATAACTCAGTGTGGGGCAACAAGCGTTGGGCCCCCGGCTCCAGACTAGCAGCTCAGACGATGAAACCCAACCCAAAACAAATGACATCCTTCAATGAGCTGATTTTCTCTGACTTCCTAAGACAACTGGAGGTTTATGCAGCCACTGGTGAGACAAAAATCCATCTGGGCCTCTCGGAGTTGGCAGTGGCTGGAGATGCTGGGCTTTGGTATATCCTCAACTTGGGGCGTGAATACAAGTATAATGTTTAATTATTTTTCCCTGGTGAAGTCATAGTGTGTAATTAATCATATTTTTTTCTTTTTTCCCCCTTAGAATGATACCTTTCTCACCAAGAGAAAGTGCTCTAATAATTGCCCTTAAAAAAAAAAGTAAGACAAAAGCAGGCATTTTTTATTCTATTCCACCAACGCCCAGACTCTGTGGTGAAGAGAAACAGAGAGTCCCTAGTCCAAGGGACAAGGGCTGCAGCTCACAACATGCTGAGTCCTGCATTGGGCAACAGCAAGGGATGGTGGTGTCCAAGCAACTGCTGTTCATTTTAAATACCTACTTTATGCCAGGAACTGTGATAGGCTCTTTAATCAGGAGTTCTTATGTTAGAGAGTACTCTAGTCTGAATGTTTGTGTCCCCTCAAATTCATGTGGTGAAATCCTAAACCTATTCCGAGGTGACGGTATTAGATAGTGGGGACTTTGGGAGGTGATTACACCTTAAGGGGATCAGTGTCCTTATAAAAGAGACCCCAGACAGTTGGCCTATCCCTCTGTAGGATGAGGGCACGGCAAGAATCAGGCAGTCTGCAGCCAGAAGAGGGCCTTCACCAGACCCCGACCATGCTGGCACACCAATCCTGGATTTCCAGCATTCAGAAGTCTAAGAAATACATTTCTGTTGTTTATAAGTTACCTCGTCTGTGGTGTTTTATTATAGTGGCTGGAGTGGGCTAAGACAGGAGGGTGTATGTGTGGATTTCATGTGGACTAGACTATGAACTTCCTTAAAGGACATAAAAGTTTTAGCATGTATAAATGTTTCTGGAGGGGGTAATTTAGTTTCATCTGATTCTTAAAGAAGTCCTTGACACAGGTGTTAAGACTAACTGCTTTAGCCTGGCTGGCATGGCTCAGTGGTTGAGCGTCGACCTAAGAACTAGGAGGTCATGGTTCAATTCCCGTCAGGGCATATGTCTGGGTTGCAAGCTGGATCCCCAGTGTGGGGTGATCAGGAGGCAGCTGATCAATGATTCTCTCTCATTATTGTTATTTCTATGTCACTCTCTCTCTCCCCTCATCTCAGAAATAAAAAATACATTAAAAAAAAAAGACTCACTACTTCACTTCTGTTACGCCTGGCCCCATCCACCAATGCGGGCAATCCTTGTTTTGCAGGTCTCCACGCAAGACCAGCATCTAAACTTAGCAAGGTGAAGTAACTTGCCGAAGATCACACAGTGAGTAAGCAGTAGAGCCAGGGTTCGAACTGATGTCTGCCTGGCCCCAAAGTCTGTATTCTTTCTATTGGAAGGCCCTAAGGTGGGGAGAAGGGGAGGGATATTGATTTTATCTTTATGTACGTATTTGGATCATGGAAAAGAGGAGGTGGAGGGTGAGTGAGTCACCCCTGACGGGGCCCACCAGGGGCAGCCAGCCTGGAGGTGTTTACCTAGGATCAGAAGCTGGGTGTTCTCAGTCAGCTCTCCGTGCACATTGGCTGCCCTGCAGGAGTACAGGCCCTGATCCGAGGAGGACACGTCTGTGAGTAGCAAGGATCCCTCGTGCAGATGGTGAGAGGAGCCCAGCTTGCTTTTGTTCCTGAACCAAGTGACTTCAGCTTCAGGCACACCTAGGAAGCAAAAAAAATAAATAAATAAAATAAACTCATCAGCCAAACACGTTCAGGTGATTCTGGAGGTATTTATAGCCTCTTGGCGGGGACTCTGCAGGAAGCATCTGTCTGGGCGTCTTCTACCAGCCTTTGGCCAAACTAAATAATGCCTCGGGCCTCTCTGTTGTCTGGGGGTCTTTTAATTTTCGAACTTACACTGACGAGGCAGGAAGAGAGAGGCCAGTTAAAGAAGAGGAAGTATGTGGCTGGTAAAGGGTACTTCCAAGGTGGAAGGAAAATACAAAGATTCTTTGGAGAAAACATTATCTAAAATAATAAAAGGGTAATATGCTAATTAGACCGGACATCTTCTGGATGTCATTCCGGTCATCCTTCCCGATGAAGCCAGGGCCAGAGGGAAGCCAGCTCAGGTCCCGGGTGCCTGTGGGTGGCCCGAGGGAAGCCAGTCCAGGTCCCAGGTGCCTGCGGGCGGCCCGAGGGAAGCCGGCCCGGGTCCCGGGTGCCTGCAGCTGGCCCACAGGGAGCCAGCCCGGGTCCTGGGTGCCGGAGGGAAACGGTGCTGGCAGCCGGGGGAAGGAAGGCCTACTCTTGCACGAATTTTCATGCATCGGGCCTCTAGTAAAAATATAACAACCAAACCTAGATCTGTCAGTGAATATGAAACAAAATGTTGAATAAGAGAAGTCAGACACAGAAGAGTATCTACTGCATGATTTCCTTTCTCTAAGTAAGAAACAAAGACTGGTAACATCAACCTATGCTGCTAGTAGTCAGGGAAATGGTTGCTGGTAAGGCTCTGTTTTTTGACCTGGGGGCTGGTTTGGTGAGTTTAGCACCTTTATGACATGTGCTCTTTTCTGTAGAGATATAACACTTCAATAAAAGTCACAAAAGCTAAAAGCCACAAAAGTTAATACATTCAAGAACCAGACAAAGGAGAGCTGCTAGATCCTTACCAGAGTTGAGGATACACATAGAAAACATGGCTGTATTTTTGAAGCCTGTGTATTTTCTTAGAACAAGAGGACATGGAACTAAGGTATCAGCGGCACAGAAAAAGAAAGACAGGAAGTACTCTGCTCTCTCCTCAGCCCAAGTTCACTGTCTATGAGAAAGAGCTGGGGAGAGTGTGCAAATATGAATTGGGATTGCACACCTCCTTTAAGAAGTCTGAAGTACTCTGCTCTCTCCTCAGTCCAAGTTCACTGTCTGTGAGAAAGAGCTGGGGAGAGTGTGCGAATATGAATTGGGATTGCACACCTCCTTTAAGAAGTCTTCTAGGGGTGTTACAGACTGAAGGCTTGTGTTCCCACAAAATGATATGTTGAAGCCCTCACCTCAGTGCAATAGTATTCAGAGGTGGGGTCTTTGGAGGCATTTAGATTTAGATGAGGTCATGATGGGCGGAGGGTGGGCCTCATGATGGGACTAGAGCCCTTGTAAGAAGAGATCAGAGGGCTAGTACTCTCGCCAGGTGAGGACCCGGCAAGAAGAAAGCTGCCTGCAAGCCAGAAAGAGAGTTGTCACCAGGAACTGCATGGATCAGCACTTTGATCTAGGAATTCCCAGTCTCCAGAACTGTGAGCTGTAACCTTCTGTTGTTTAAGGCTCCCAGGCTATGGTATTTTGTAATAAACAGTAGCCTGAGTAGACAGCCTTAACTCTTTAGGAAGTTCCTTGTGGTTGACATGCTGATCAGCAGGCCCCAGGTTAGCACAAGCTTGAGATGATCTGCATAAGGCTCCCTCTGAGTGAATTGGGAGACAGATCTTCAGGGAGCAGAAAGCTCCCTCCCTTGCACCCCAGCCTGCTGACCCAGCTCACAAAGTTTACTCAGAATTCTTGGGCATGTCTGCATAAAGCTCTCTCATAGGCTGAGCTCTGAGTGGATTGGGAGACAGATCTTTAGGGAGCAGAAAGCTCCCTCCTTTGCACCCCAGTCTGCGGACCCAGCTCACAAAGTTTACTCAGAATTCTTGGGCATGTATGCAGGGTTTATTTAGAATGTCAAATCCTGGTAAACAGGGTCAAACCAGGACTGGTTAAAGAGCCAGACCTTTTGTCCTGTGCTTTCCCAGAGTTGGAGCTGGATTTTGTCCTTAATGGGCAGCCTACTATTTAGGATGCAGGCACCTTCAAGAGTTACCTGTATACCTGTTCCTTGTCCTTGAATCTGATAAAAATTTACCCCAGTCTACTCTACGCCACCCAGCTGAAGAGCCCCCACTATAGTCCCGGTGCACCCACTGTTCCCGGGCTCCGGTGAGGAAGTGAGGTGGGGTGGGAGCACGGTCTCACCTAACAATGAGCTGCCTTGTGTGAACTCACTGCTGTCCCGGCTGCTCTGCTGCCTCAGGTGGGCTTTTCCAGCCTGGAGCGATGGCCCCAGGCAGGTGGCCAGAGTGTTCAGCCAATTTGTGAGCCCTTTCTCCCTGTTATGGAGAACACAGGAGCGACTCTCTGGTCTTCACTTTTATTCATGTTACCCATAATTCAGTGTGAATCCCTAGGGACCTACATGGTTGTTCAGAGGAAGAGGCGGGGCTGCTGAGAGGGAGTGGAGACTTGGATACGGCACCCCTGATCCATCAGGGAGAGGTTACACATATGGTGACACCTGATGCTCAAATGCATGAGAGTGGCCAGGCTGGCATGGTCTCTGAACACACCTGGACAGAAGATGCAGGTGAGAGGCAGGAAAGCTGATTTTTCATGGCAGCACCACTAGGGAGAGCAAGAGCATCATGATGCCCTGCCATGCCAGCGTGCACTTTGGACTCTGAGCTCAGTTTTTATGTATTAACACCCCCCCCCCCCCCCCCCCCCACACCATGAGGG